GTAGTCGATCGAAAATATATACAATGACAGTTAAGAGCTTGACGACAGATTTCGAAAATATATCCGCCGATGTGGGCTTGTAATATATCCATCTCCCGTGGCAAGCTAAGCGTGGTTTCGCGTGACTACATGCATCCCCTTGCCTCTGGTACAGCCAATCACAGGTGCTGCGACAGCTTGCCTCTCGCGGCGTTGACTCACCGGCGCTCACGCGAAGGTTGACCTAATCTGTCTAGCCAATCCCTTTCAAGACTGACTCGCAGTGGACCTCACTACGGTTTCCGCCTTCTCTCTCACCATTTTGGACTAAGTACACCTCGCAGCCGAAAGTGACCTTGTCCGACAGCCAATTTACTCCTATCTAGTCTTCACTCCCTCTATACAGAATAAACTGTTCTTACGGCTCTGACATCCCAATTATTCTCCTTCCCACTTTGAACAGGACTTACAGATCGCGCTCGCAAGGTTCGTACCCCTTAAACTAAGCCCCCGCGATAGAGTCATCTACCATTTTCATGGAACCCGCAAAATAATATACGGACAAAAGTGACAGCATTTAGACTGCCAGATTATCGTCTAGAAGATCCTAATTGCTAGTAGTATGCTTAGGACAAATTTTTAATAAAGTATGCACTCACATGCAGCAACGCCTTTAATGTCATTTTAGTCGCCAAAGCAACGAAGATGTGAGGGGTAAAATATCCTTTATTGGAAACATATTATAAGCAATCATGATACTGCCATACACAGGAATCAGGCCTATGCATGACCGTTGATTGGGAGCTCTATATGAGAAAAAAAAGGTGATTGTTGAAGGTTTTCAGGAGGAAGATGACAAGATGGGAAAATCACCGAAAGCATTTAAGGAAGGAATAACAAATTAAAGGAATCAGGCGAGAAAGTAAGGAAGGTGATGAGGACGACTTCCAAAACGATATGGCCGTCGAGCTTGACTTCGAGCTTGACGTTGATATCCCTCTGGGAAACGAGGTGGAAGAGGTGCAGGAGGAGAAGGAGGCAGGAAACGAAGTCCAGAATTTCGTCGCAGGTTTTGAAATATAGCATCAATCGTAAGGGCAGCAGCAGCTGCAAGAGCTAGAAAAGGCCCAAAAGGCGGCATAGGCGGTATTCCCGGCATTCCCGGCATAAACGGCAGCTGCAGTTGAGGAAATCACGCTGCCGCCAGAACATTGTCATCGTCGGAGTATTTAGGGGGGAGGGCTATTGCCGAACTGGTGCCTTCTGCCGTCTGTGCGTAGTTCCCTGCAACATCTGCAGAAGCCTCCGCAAAATCGGTTTGACTATCCTCACCGTCTTCCGGGACATTTGGACGTACTGGCGTACTGGGATGTGCATCTGAGGTGATGAGGCTAAAGAAGACGAGAAGGGCGGAAAACAGAGAGGCCAGGGATAGCATGGTAGTACCGTCTTTGGAGATTAGAATTTTCGTTGCACTCCCTTCGCCGCCTTATATAGGAAAGCCATGTTTATTCTGGTCACAGTGACGGCGTGTCGCGCTCGTCCAGTCCATGCACATACGCACACATTTGTGGCACAAAACCAACACAGCTCGTCCGAGAGTTTACCCTTCGTACTACTAGGCACTACGATTCTAAACACGCCAAAATGACGCCTGAGTGTGTGCGTGGTTGAAACTGCTCAATTTCTTGTTGTGCACAAAATATTTTTAAATGTTAATGCGCCTTTCGTATTTCATATTGCCAGATTACCGTTATCGCTTTTGGGCGTTTCTGCTTTCCTATAGGTTCGTTTTATATTTAAAGCAAGAGGGTTGGTCAGCGAGTACTTTTTGTACGAAATATCCTAAAACATGGGAAAATAATTGGTTATTTGTGCCCGTTGTCCAGTTGAGAAAGGTGGATGGTGTATCAAAACTAATGAACGCAATAGCCAGCTTCCCGCAGGTTTCAAGCACCCTATAGGCGTTACGAACAGAATATCCACTGAAATATGTTTATATACAGTATGGCAAGTCCTACAAACAACTTTCATGACGAAATTTAACTTGGTAGTTTAGCATATATCTGGAC